CCGATCTATTAATTCAACTGTAAACCTAAAAATTTACAGCCAATTTTGAAAGAGATGCATCTTAACTCTGGAAATCGTTATTGAATATGTCAATGCTGTTGTAATGAAATGCTTCTTCTAATTATGTGGTTATCAAATAATTTTTTTAAAGTCTGGGGGCCAATGTTTTGCCTTCCTGAAAGTTTCAAGGTAATGCTCACTTTGCTTCATCTGCAGTCAGCCTTGAGAACTGTTCCTCTTTGACAAAACTGAATTTCAACATTTTTCCCCCTGAACTTTGCTCAGCTGTGTCATTAACTAAGCTACTCAACGGCTCTAACCATCGACTGTAAGATGAGGTTACAAATCACACAAAATTTTGAAGATTAAATTACTATATAGATGCCACTGCAACTAGCATGTTAAGTACTCAGTAAATATTAGCTGTTTCTGTATTTTTCTATCAGTTATTATAACTAAGAATTTTCTGACATTTTAACTGGCAAAGAACAAATACAAACAATTCAATTCAGAATATGGCTATTAACCCCTCTAGCTAATGGATGCCACAGCAGCTTTCCATTCATGCTGCTCTTGGAGACCATGTTTTCTTTTCTAGTCTTACCACACTGCTTCAGGCTACCATGAACAAGACTGCCTGGGAGAAATAGCCTTCTCGCCCATGAGTTTACTGATCCAGGATAGGCCTGCCTCTTCTGTAAAAATTATACCACGGATAACCAGTCAATCCTACATGGTATTTAGAGTTCCCTTACCTAGACTTAAAAAAATCTTTCCAAGCCATCATTTCCATAGGTTGCACAAAAATCCACCCATGAGGTAGTAAGTTAACACTCGGAATATCAAAGGAAGCCAGAGCTCCTGTTCCTGCTGTTCAACCTGAACACAAATACATAACCAATTCTCCTGAAATCTCAAAAGCACTTTCCAGTAGCAACCTTGTTGTAAAGGTTAGCTAAATCCAGGGTACTACTACTAACCTACAGAAGATGTATAACCTTTACATTGACTTCTCTCTTCAAATGCCATAAAACTTTCTGCCTGGAATTCACTGTCATTCTTAGAGCAAATTCCTATATTCGCTTTGAAATAAACAACTGGAAAACTTTGAAAAATACTTTCCAGACAATTTTCATGCATCTATCAACTCAAAACACATACCAAAACCTCACCCTATCGTTTATGTTCTTTGGCATTTTTAAATCCCCTTACAGTTATTTGTTTCTACCAAAACCCAGTTTTTTTTCCCCATTTTTATTATCAAAAAATTTCAAATTTTCAGAAAGGTCGAAAAAACAATTCATATGCCTAGCATTAGAGTTAATAATGGCCAATATTTTGCCATAATTATTTCTTGTTTTTTTTTATTTTTTGTATACTTCTATTTTTTTTTAACTTCATCAACACACCATCTCAAAATACATTAGTATCTATCTCCCAAAAAGCAGGGACAAGTTTCCACAATACCACAGCCCCATTCCCACCTAAAAATATTAACATTAAAACATCTATATGCAGGTGCACCAAAGCTGTTTGAGAATAAGAACCCACTTTATACATTCCCAGCACTTTACTAGGTGGGCAGTATTTGCATGGCTGATCAATAAATGCATCAATTGTTCAATATAACTGCCTCAGAAGTCCTCAGCAAGTCCCATGGCTCTAAAACTTAAATAGCAAGTTTGTTCAACTCTAAGCCTTCTGTTCATCAGTTTTATTACTTTGAAAAAAGTCATGCAGTTAAGCATAGTATTGAGGTTCTGAACTACTTAATTCTATATTGCGTAATGCTTTCACAGAGACCATGACTGTCACTTGCCAGACACAGAAAGACACACCACATGTTTTAAAAGGATGAACACTTTTAGCCACTGAAAATGTTAGTAAAGAAACAATACAGAGTTCTGGATTCAGACAGATCTAGTTTCTAGTAAAGATTCAAACGCTTGCTTGCAACAAAATCCACGAGGACAAGTTATGAGAACTCACTAAGTCTCCATTTTTCCCTCTGAAAGATGGAGTAATTAATAAACCTAGTGGGACTTGAGAAGAGTGAATGAAAACATATGCAAAGTATTTGGCATTGTAACTCATTAATGGCATTATGTTATCCGTCTAAAATGAAGGCCGTGTATTTGAGCAAAAAAACAAAAGCCTTGTGTAGACTAGGACGCTAGTGCTGAAGTCGCCATGCTTCCGACTTCTAGCTCAGCCATCAACAACGCTGTGAAGCAAGACAGCTATTACCCACAACACTCCCAAGGGTGATAACTCTCAGGAAGTTGTCCGAGACCCGGTGAACAAGATCCAAAGGTCATCACCCGGCGGGAGGATGCATCACTGTGTAATCTAGGAGGTTGCGGCAGTGACCAGCAGCCTCGCAAAGCGCACAGAGCTTTTGTTCTTTGAAAGTGGGCGTGGAAGCAAGCACCCGCAGAGTGAGGAAGACTAAGCACCGGACGTTTCTCCCAGCCACCTCTACCCAGAGCAGTCCCCGAACCCTGCTGCCCATTTCAGCGAAAGGAGACGCAGCAGGAAAGAAACCGGGCAGCTCTCTTCGAGCTAAACCGCAATTTCTAGCGCTCAGTTAACCCAAGAAATGAAAGGAGGAAGCGATGTGAGAAAGGAAATCGAGCCAGGGAAGGACCCCCGGGCTGCACTGTCACGCCTCCGCGCCCACGCTGTCACTCTCTGCAGGACGCACCCTCGGTGGAGCGTGTGTGTCTCGGCTCCGCGGAGAGGAGTCGGACCCAAAACGCAGCGGCGGCTGCAAGCCTGGCCGTCGGGTTCCCAGTGTCCCGCCTCTCCGCCGGTCCTCACCTGCCACAGCTGCGGTGGTTAGCGATCTGCCGGAGACCGCTGAGCCCATCCAGGTTTTGGTTCTTCCCCGTAGTTCCGGGGTCGGGGGCCAGGTGTAGTGCAGAGTCGGCTCCCGAAGGCTTGGACCTGAGCGCTCCCCGGGAGCAGCAGCGCAGGGGCCGGCAGGGCTACACCGCGCGAGTCCTCGACACGCCTCTTCCCCGCCCGCCTCGGGTCTCACACACAAACTCCACCGGCCGGAACAGTTTCCGCCGAACAACGATCCGCCCAACTCTTTTGTGACCGAGGTTCCACAGCCCTCACCCGGACTCTGACCCCGCTAGTTCCGTTTCCGGCAGCACCAGATAAGTCGCGTGAGGAGAGTTAAAACCTGTCGTTTGCATTTAGGAACACCGGTGAGTGGTCCTTCTGGCGTGTTCGGTGGTACCTATTGCTTTTTTTTAAAGTGAGGCGAATGGGGACAGAAACTTCAAAGCCATTCCCCGAAAGGGTGTGAGGCCGGGGATGTTGCGCAGGCGCCATGGGAGGCGGGAGGGCCTGGGCCCCGGGAGGTGGCGCGTCGAAGGAATTGAGTTGTCAACGGTCAATTTCCGGCTTCTGCAAAGATTACCTGGACCTTGCCCTCGGCAGTTCTGTCAGCAAGCTGTCAGTGCTGAGCAAGCGCGTCCTCCCGTGCCTCGCCAGCCCGCAAGTCCGGTGGGCGGCCGGCCAACCGAAGCCCGGGCCATTGCCTGCTCTACGAACGCTTATTCCAATTTTAAGAACAGAAACGAGCTCAAAAGGGAGTTTCGCCACTTAGCTTTGAAAGAAAAATAGACTTTTTATTTCACTGTGGATTTATTTAGCCTTTCGTGGACATTTCAGGACTACAGTAGAGAATCTTCAGAATGAAAATGAATTTATCCTATGTGACTTTATTTGTATGCACATGGAATTGAGGGGATTTCTTGTTAAGCCAATCTGTACGTTTGAGTGGGACAGACTATAAAGGTCTGTGAGTGTTGACTTCCCAGACTTCTCCCAGCTTTTGCCAATGTCTATATAAACTGTACTGTACCACTTTTCAGAGATTAAAATTGAATAGTTCAGAAGTCAAAGTTCTAACTCCAGTGTATTTATTGAAACATTGCAAATTTTACGTTTTTAAGTTGGAATACAAGCATATTGTAATCTTGTGCCCGTTGTAACTAGTTGCTTATGTTGGTAGTTTATTGGTTTTTACACATGATGAAACACAAATCCTTATTTAAAGGGATATTTAATTGTTTTAATGTTTTGGATACACAAGATAGTATTATTAAAGAAGTAATAAGTATTAGTACAAATATTAATTTTATTTGATCTTGTACAAAGAGCATAGTGTAAAAGTTTTAACCAAATCTTGACCTTCTCCCAAAACCAGAAATTGCAATCAGCAATTTCAATATCTTTTCTAGCTCCTAAGTTCTTAAAAAATACAAGCTATTCAAAGAAGTCCTAAAATACAAGTTTGCATCTTCGTGATTTTTCTTATACATTCACTATTTTTCCTTGCCTTTCTACCTTGTCATCTTTTTAATGCACTTTGTGAACTGCATTAAACTATAACATAAGTCATTATAAAGTATGTACATCCATGAACCAGGCATAGTGGCTTCTGTTTGTATCCCCATACTTGGGAGACTGAGGCAGGAGGATCACCATGGATTTGAAGCCATCCTGGACTACAGAGTGAGTTCCAGAACAGCCTTGGCTACAGAGTGAAAAAAGTAAATACACCTCCTGCTGGGTCTTCAGGATTTTACTATTAGCAATAAACCACTGTAATTATTGCTGTAAAACATTAATTACTGTTAACAAAAAGATTTAAAATCTTTTTCTTATTTTAGAAAACAAGTTTCTATTACTTTAAACAACTTGAAATGAACGTCAATATTTAAATATAGCAATGATTATATATCATTTTGCCATTTGGAAAGGACATTTCAAATCTATAATCTCTATTTGTGAAAAAGGAGGGACGGTTATTATGTCCTTTTTCCATACATGGATACTGAGGCCTAAGGAACGGTCATGCGCTTTTAACTCCCAAAGTCTGCGTCTTCTTAGACTTACCTGCTTATGCCTATATGTATTCTGGCCAACAATCATGGCATCTTTGGTAGCACTTAACACTTGCGTTTGCTTGTGTACTGATGTCCTACTGTGGTTTTACTTCAAATCTTCCCTTGGCCTAATGATGTTGAACATTTGTATATGTGTGCCCTATCTCTTTAGTAGACTCTCTTGTTCAAATTTTTCACCCATTTTTTAAGTTGAGTTGGTTTTTCTTGTTAAGCCTTGAGAGTTCTATACAAATTCTGGATACAAATTATTTGTCATAGATGTATACTACAAATATTTTTCCCTCACTTGTGTTTTTTCTCTTAGCAGCATCTTAAAAAAATGACTTTTTCCTTCTTAGTTGATGCTTTTTATTCACTCCATAGTAAGATGCCACCTCACAATAGTTCACAAGCATTTAATTTTTTTTTCTTTTCTAAAAATACTATAGTTTTTAGGTCTTACATTTAGGTCTGTGGTCTATAGTTAGTTAATTTTTATGTGCATTGAGAATTGAAGTTCATCATTTTTTTCATATGGATGCTTAATTGTTCCAGCATTTCTTGAAGACATATCTTTTCTTCAGAATTCTTGTTGAAAATCAATTTACCATATCTGAGTGGCTGTTTGTAGACACTATTCTATCCAGTGGATTGACAGCTGTTATTTTGCCAGTGCCGCAATGTCGATTACTGTAGCACATAAGAACTTACAAGAAGTCTTAAAAATCACCAAATGTGAAATTCTTCACCTATATCATTTTCAAAGTAATTTTAACTGCTATAAGCCCTTAGATTTTATCAGTTTTAGATTCAGCTTACCAGTTTTTATAAAAGAAAGTCCTGGGTTTCTGGTTGGGGTTGCCTTGACTCTGTAAATTAATTTGAGAAGAATTGGCATGTTAATGAAGTGACCTAGTTTTTTTTCTTCCCTCATTATTGAGATGGGAGTGTCTTATAGTTTTCTCTATTCTAGACAGAAGACTTTTTATAGAATTTCAGAAAAGTTACTTCCATTTTCACTGTTACCATCCTTGAGTTGAATGCTATTCCTCTGCTCTAAAGAACATCAAGCCATCAGTCATGTAATTTTTCCCTTTGTTTCCAAAGGCATCTAGCATCCCTTTCATTAAAACTTTTTGGATTATACTCTTCTTGTAAGGCAATTTCATTTATCTAACTATCAGTCAATCTATCTGTCTATCTATTTATTTATTTGCTAGAGCAGTAAGATAAGAAGCAAAAGGTTCAAATAGGAAAGTCCTCAAAGTATCATTATTTGCAGATTCTGTACCTAGAAGAACCTAAAGATTCCACCAGAAAATGCTTAGAATTGATAAAACACTTTGTGAGAAAAGTGGCAGGATAAAAAAATTCACATATAAAAATCTGTAGCCTTCCTATATTCCCTTAATAAACAGAAGTCAAGGAAATAATTCTATCCACGATTGCCAAAAACAAAAATACCTTGGAATAAACTTAGACAAGGAAGGGAAAGAGCTCTGGAATGAAAACCATAGAACAGTCAAAAGAGACTGAAGAAGACACTGGAAGATGGAAAGACCTTCCATGCTTATTGGTTAAAACAGTGTTTTAAGAGTGAGAATTATGAAAATGACTATCTTACCAAAAGCAGTCTACAGAGACAATGCAATCCCCATCAAAATTTCAGTGCTATTCTTTACAGAAATACATATTTATTTATTTATTTATTTATTTGTTTGTTTATTTTGGTCTTTTTGAGACAGGTTCTCCCTTGTAGCTCCAGCTGTCCTGGAACTCACTATGTAGACCAGGCTGGCCTTGAACTCTCAGAGATCTGCCTGCCTCTTCCTCCCGAGTGCTGGGATTAAAGGTGTGTGCCACCATGCCTGGCCTAGAAATATATAGTTTTAAAAGAAACCAAAAAGTCTTTTGAAGGGGCTCAGCAGTTAAGAGGACTGACTGCTCTGGTATAGGACATAGGTTCAGTTCCCATCGTTCATATGGTGGCCAGCAGCCATCTGTAACTCCAGTTCCAGGGGCTCTGATGCTCTCTTCTGGCCTCAGTGAGCATTGCATGCATGGGCATGTAAATACATGCAAATGAAATACCCATACATACAAAACTAAAATTAGCTGGGTGTGGTGGTGCACCTTTAGTCCCACCACCTGGGAGGTAGAGGCAGGCGGATCTGTCTGAGTTCAAGGCCATCCTGGTCTACATAATGAGTTCCAGACAAGCTGGGGGCTACAGGGAGACCCAGTCTCAAAAAAAAAAAAAAAAAAATTAATTAAAATTAAAAATTAAAAAATACCTCATTTGTAAAGACAAAAGGCCTCAGATAGCCAAAGAAATCCTGAGCCAAAATAAGTAAATAAGGCTGGAGATATTGTATCTGAATTCCAGTTACATTGCAGAGCCATAGTAACAAAACCAGCATGATGCTGGCATAACAGATATGTAGGTCAGTGGAACAGAATGAAAGATGCAAATATGGAACCCATGTAGCTACAGCCACCTGATTTTTGACATAGTTGGCAGAAATGCTCTTTGGAGTCAAGACAGCATCTTTAACAATTGGTGCTGGAAAAACTGGATATCTATGTGTACAAGACCTCTTACCTTGCACAAAATCGACTTCAGATGAGTCACCTTAGCATAATACCTGAAACTCTGAAATTGCTACAAGAAGAGGTAGGGAAGATACATCAAGATGTAGGCATAGATGAGGACTTTTTAATAGGACTCCAGTTAGGAAATAAGACCAATTGAAAAGTGACAGTAGAATAGTTAATGTTTTCAGCTTGACAGGATTGATAACTGCTGGGAGAAGGAGTATCAGTTTTCTTTAAGGGTATAACACCTTGTATGTTGACCAGACCCCAAGGCATAGACCCACACCCAAGAGCATTAGAGGAACACAAATTAGACTCAATAGGCCTTTAAAAAAGGAAAAAAATAGTAATAGAGGATATGAAATTGGGGTTGGGGAGGTAGGAAGGTAGGTTTGGAGATAAAGGAGAGGGTCTGAATATGATCGAAATATATTGCATGAAATTCTCAAGGAATCAAAAATATTTTATCAAGTATTTTGTAGCAGCAATGAGAAAAATAATACAGGCACTTCCTGAAATTAAAAAGCTTCCGTACACCAAAGGAAACAGTTAATTGAGTGAAGAGACAGCCTGCAGAATGGGAGAAAATTATTGCCACCTATACATCTGACAGAGGATTATTAAGATGGGCTATGAACTGAACAGAGAGTTCTGAAAAGAAATATAAATAGCCAAAATATTTTTTTAATTGTTCAGCATCCTTAACGATCAGGTGAACGAAAATTAAAACAACTTTGAAATTGCATCTCACTGCAGTCCAGAATGGCTACCATCCATGAATCAAATGACAGCAAATAATGGCAAGGATGTGAGGAAAGTGGAACTATTATTCACTGTTGGTGGGTGTGTAAACTGAGGCAGCCACTATGGAAATCAGCATGGGGCTTCTCTAGAAAAGAAAAAAAGAACTTCCATATGACCCTGTTGCACAACTCTTGGCATATACCCAAAGGTCTCTGTATCCTGCCACAGAGATATTTGTAAATCCATGTTTATTCCTGTTCTATTCACAGCAGCAAGAAAATTGAATCAGCATAGATGTCTATCAATGAATGAATGGATAATGAAAATATGGGATATATACAGTGACTTTTATTCATCCATAGAGAAATACAAAATGAAAATACAAAATTTGCAGAAAAATGAATGGAACTGAAAATTATTATATTTAGTGACCCAGGATCAGAAAGACAAGCACTGTATATTTTTTTCCTTATTTGGATCCTAGCTTCTAGTTTTCAAAGATGAATATTTGAGAGTAGTGTGTATGGAGGCTAAGAAACTAGAAAGGAGTCCAAGAGGGGGAAAGCTCTAAGGGAGGATGGTAGTGGACAATGAACATATGTTTCCACATAGGAAAAGTGGAAGAGGGAATGTAGAGGGTGGGAAGGTTTCGGGAGCATTAGGGAGAGGAGTAGGGGGTGGGTGTCAACTCAAATGTATATATGAAAAAGCCATAAGGAAATCTACTTTGTAAGCTAATTAAAAAATTAAATTAGCTGGGCATGATGACACATACCTTTAATCCCAGCACTTGGGAGGCAAATACAGGTGGATCTTCCTGAGATTGAGGCCAGCCAGGACAGCTGCAGCTATAGGAAGACCCTGTCTCAAAACAAATAAATGCATGAATGAATTTTCTTTTAATTTTTTAAAATTGTAATAAGGTACTCATGTAATTACTATCTTAACCTTTTTAAAGTATATAGTTAATTGTCACTAAATATATTCATGTGAAACCATCATGACTACCCATCTACAGAACTCTTTTAGTCTTGTACAAATGAAACACTATATCCATTAAACAATAATTTCCCTTTTCTCCCCAGTTCCTGGAAATCACCATTCTAATTTCTCTCTGTGAATTTGACAGTGTCTATCTGCAGTCTATCACTAAACTACATCCCCTATTCTGATCCATTTGTTTTAGAGATGTTTGAGAAACTGATAAACTTCATTAGTTTGATTTGAAGTATAACCATCTATTATAAAATAAAATAAAAAACACATATATTTAATGGAAAGGGGTTAATGTAAGGTACAATAAGTCACCAGGTGTGGTAGCACACTCCTTTAATCCCAGCAATCGGGAGGCAAAGGCAGGTGGATCTCTGTGAGTTCAAGACCAGCTGGTGCTACAGAGAGATCCTGTCTCAAAAGACCAAAATAAAAAATTAATTAATTAATTAATTTAATTTAATTTAATTAAAAATGGTACAGTGAGTCACCCCTGTAATTCTAACACAGGAAGCTGATGGCTATATCACAGGTGAAGAGATATAATAGACTGTTTGAGCTGGTATCATATATATAGTCTGTCCTACTTTGTTCTAGTATTCTCTCTGCAATAATAGATTATCTGGCTATCTTTAGAGTTTTGAAATTGTTAGTATTGGTATTGGAGTTCCTGCAGAAAGCAGAAAATACTCTCTTTGGGGATAAAGAAAATTTGATGATGCTCTTATTTTCAGAGTTACAGATAGGAGCAAAGAAACCTAGAGATTTGCAGCAGAAAAAGAAAATTGTTGCCACTTTCATGACCAAAGTTTCAAGAAGAACTGAGGTTGACTGCCAGTGAGGGAGGGAAAAAAAAAACCTACAAGGCAGGGGCCGGAGAGATGGCTCAGCAGTTAAGAACACGGCTTTTGCAGAGGACCAAGGTTCAATTCTAGTCACCCACCTGGCAGTTAACAGTTGCCTGAAACACCAGTTCCAGGGGCTCTGACACCCTCTTCTGACCTCCACAGGCACTGCATGACACATACATGCAATACACTCATACAGATAAAATAACAATTATAAATAAGATTTTTTTAAAAGAACAAGACAGACAGGCTCCCAACAGAGCTCTTTGTTGAGAGATGCAGCTTTACCTAAAGTAAAAGCTAAAAACCAAGTATCTTAATCTCTTCTGCATTCTGATTTGCCTTGTCATTACCTTGTGTTGGGCAATTCCTGTTGGAAAACAGTACATACAGTCTGTCAGGTGGGGGTCTGTCTCCACAAGCACAGCATCCAGGAAGGAAGGTCAAATTGATCTTGAGAGTTGAGTGTGATAGGAAAGCAAATAACCACCACAGTGTCTCTCTCCACTGAAAATAGGAAACAAATGTGGGTTTTTTCCCTCTCTTTTTAGCAAGGTCCCCAGTTTGTTTTTGTAGTGCAGCCAGATTTTTCTTCCTAATACTGACAAAATCACTTTTGTTAAAGAAAAGCTAGTTAGGTCAGGAGAACAGACTAGATCTGAGATCTGGTTGCTAAACATCTCTGTCATTTATCGTTTGAACATTTACAGAATACATCTAACATGATTTAGGAAGGATTTTATTTGCTTTGCAGTGATCTTAAATGTATTTTAAAGTACTATAAAAATTATGCTTCTCTCCTTATTTATTTAAATACTACATAACAACATCAACCTCTTTAAATAACATTTCTGCGGATGCTAATGAGAGACTCCAAGCAAACCCTTGAGGTACATTTGCTCATTTCCTTCCTTTTTCAGCATTTCTTATCACATGAAAAAGGTGTACAAGATAATTTGTCGTGATCTATCTCAGAAGTAGCATTCAGATATTTCAGTTCACAGACAGCAAGCACTCTGTTCTTTTTCTGTACTGCAGTTATCGCTCTCAAGATAATATTCTGGGAATGCTCAATTCATACATAAGCAGAAATGGGACAGAAGCCTGAACTGAAATAGCAACTGAATTATATTGTCACTTAAGTAATGTCTTTAAATGCTCTTTCCTAGGTTCACAATGGTCCGTAGTGGGAAGAATGGTGACCTTCATCTTAAACAGATTGCATATTATAAAAGAACAGGTGAATACCACCCAACCACACTGTCCAGCGAGAGAAGCGGCATACGGAGAGCGGCGAAAAAATTTGTCTTCAAAGGTGAAATTAATGTCTGAATCCTAAATTAGTAACTCTCCTCCAATATGTTGTAGAATCCCAGGAAATTCTCTAGTATTTGATTGTTGCTAAGCAATTATCAGTTAAATTGAAGATACTATTCAAAATCAAATAGAAACCACAGTGATGCTAACTGGAAGCCAGTAAGCATGAAAAAGACCTGTTAAATTATAGATCAAAAGAGATACCATGAAAAAAAAATACTCAAGTTAATTTCTCTTGCTTTTTGTCCTCCAGTGATTTTTGACCTATATGACACGTCTTTAGGGACTGTTACCACTGTATTGAGGAAACTGATGCTTTATATGAAAATGTTAGCAGGATTAGCTAGTTTGTTTACTAAAATAAATGAATATGACTATGTTCCTTGTTGACTTTTATCCACATCTTCCCTTACTGTCATTAATTATTCTCAGGATTGCATTTGTTTTCCTGTTTTGACACTCCATCAGTAGATTAAATATTTGAGAAGTAGGATAATTATCTTGAAAGCTAATGATGCCCTCCCCACACTGTGCCCTTCATTGGAGAAAACAAATTGAAGATGACATCAGCAAAAAACAGAGTCCACAGATAACTAAATGAACCTTAGTGCATTAATAGCAGCTTTACTTTAGGCTTTTTCCAAAGCAGGTCAGAATATAAAGTCATAAATTCTAAGATTATAAATAAATACCTGCTCATGGCTCCCTATATACACCCTTGTCAGTAACTCCTTATGCTTAATATCAGGCAAACCTCTTAGACTACAGTGGAGGCGTGTCATCCATTCATGTATTCAATCATTTATGTTAAAAATGTTTATTGAATTTCTACTATGTGTCAAAAACATTCTAGTCCCTAGAGCTATATTAATGAGTAAGATAGGATTCCTGCCCTCGGGTTTCTTACCTTTTAATTTAAGACATGTGCTTATTAAGCATTTTAATATGTTAATGATGTGTCTGGACTTTGAATAACTACCCCATCTAGACTGGAGTACTGTTGTCTCCCTGTTCCCGGTTGCTTCTTGACTATAGATTCTTTTTATGTACTGCTTAAGAAAACAGAGCTTAAGACTTGTTGGGGAACCCTGCTGCTAGGGTTGTAGTCCTCCGTGTCCGGATAGCTCTAAGAGGCTCGGTGAAAGATTGGAAGGACTCCCCTTCTCAGCAGGGGGCCTCCTGCTCTCTTCCTGACTCACCTGGAAAGTGCCGCCAAGCATGGATGCCTAACCTTATTTGGAACATGACCTTTGCCGTAGTTACCTGGAGTAAAAACTACCCCCAGGTTTTTTCTATATGAAAATTAGGCATAGCCCGTAGTTGGGAGCCTACTGCACATGTAAATAAAGCATACTATGAGCACCTATCAGCTGAGGCATTGGCTACTGCCCCCACACTATATTTTCCCTAGTTTTCCCACTGAATAAATGGAGCTGTTTCACTGAGTCTGGAGCTGTTTGTATCATTGAACCTGCCTCCCCAGAAGGGCTTTCTTCCATCAGTGCTCACTGGCTGTCCTGACCCCGCTCATCGCTTCTGCTCCCTTTGTCCTCGTGGAGCGGTGGCCAACGATCCACGAGGAGAGGGAGCAACCCCACAAAGGGTTAACTTACTCCTGCTGAACCATCCCTACCTTTACTCAGATCCAGAGGAAGGAAAGGAAGGGTACTTGCTTATAAGAAATGTAGTCAATGATGAAATACTTTGGAAAATTTTGTTATCAGAAGATGCTCATCTAGACATATTCATTTGACAGTTTATGCTATTTTTAGGAGGCATCTACAAGTGTTTTGCTAATTTGAATACTCCCAAAGCAAGGCTCATATTCCCATAGTTATCACATGCCTTGATGAGCAAACTAACTCAATTTGTATTGATAACTGCAAAATTATAGCAGCCAGTGCTTCTTCTAAATATCTAGTAATAGCTGAGGATCTTTCAGAATGCATGGTAGTATCATTACAAGTCAATATTCTGATTTAAAGAAAGATTTTGTAAAAATAAAATTAGAAATCTTCATGGTTTGAAGTTAAGTCGATGCTTGTCTTAACACTATATAAAGCAATGAAAATTAATTCATTTTGATGTCATCCATTTCAGAAAAAAAGCTGTTTTATGTTGGGAAAGACAGAAAACAAAATCGTTTGGTGGTTGTTTCAGAAGAGGAAAAAAAGGAAGCCCTGAGAGAATGCCACGAGAGTGCCAGTGGTGCTCACCACGGCATATCCAGAACCCTCACTCTAGTGGAAGCCAACTACTACTGGACTTCCGTGACCAATGATGTCAAACAGTGGGTATGGCTTGTGTGTCTAAAAAATGTTGAATATCTTTCTAATAAATGTACAAAGATCATTATTGCTTAAAATGTACTGTATATATCACCAGTGAGATAAGTACTTTATGTATTGCTTTTTGTACAAAGAAAACATTTAAGTGGAAAGGAGATTTAGTTCCCTTTTTAAAAAAATATTTTATTATTTTTAATTTATGTGCATGAGTGTATTGCCTATATGTATATCAGTGCACCTGTGTCGTGCAGTGCCCACGGAGGTAAGAAGAGGGCATCAAATTCCCCTGGATCTGTAGTTACGGACGATTGTTAGCTGCTGTGCATGCTGGGAATTGAACCCAGGTCCTCGGCAAGAGTAATCAGTCCTCTTAACTGCTGAACCATCTCTCCAGCCCCTTATTTTCCTTTATAAATCTTTGAAACCAATAAAGTGTAATTTGAACTAAAAAAAATACATTATTTTGATAGATGATTATTGAGAACTGGATTATTGAATTCCTTTTGACAGGCACAATTCAATAGAGACTAAAGTTCCTTTGCTAACAATGTTCTTAATGCCAGTCACACAAGATTCTCTGTGTGAGTGAAAATAAGCATGCTCATAGCATGTCGGTCCCAGCATGGCCTCAGCTTCTGTGCCTGTTCCATCTCGAGACAGAAACTGTCAAATTAAATTGCAGGAACCTAAAACCAAATACCTACAAAATCAAATTGTAACCTTCTATGTATTCCTTTATAGCATTTGGTGAAATAATTGTCAAATGCTTATTATTTGAGAAGGAATATGATTTTTTTGAAATAATGTTATTTTTAACTGGTGAATAAATTTAAGTTGGAAAAATGAAAACTTTGGTCAAGAGTAATTATGATTAGCTTTTGACCATGTGCCTTCTCCCAGCGCACCAGCCTACTCCTGTCCTCAAGAGTGCCTTTTTCTTAATAAATGGTCTCTATTTCTATCACTTGTAAAGAGCAGTAACTTTGATTATAATAACATGGTTTTTAGGGTTTGTTTTGTTTTTTAATGCGTATGAGTGTTATGCCTGCGTGTCGGTAAATGCACCTGTGTCATGCAGTGCCAGCGGAGGACAGAAGACACTGTCGGATCCTCTGGAACTGGAGGTATGGACAGTTGTTAGCTGTCATGTGGGTGCTGGAATTCGAACCCAGGTCTTCTGCAAGAACATCCAGCGTTCTTAACCACTGAGCCATCTCTCCAGCCCCGATTTTTAGGTTTTTTTTTAAGAGTTGGTTTAAAAATACTTTCTCAAGTTAATCCAGAAATATGTTGAAAAATAGCACCATCTAGAAGTTAATCATTTGATCTCTCCTTAATTCACTTAAGTGAAAGCTTCATGATATCTGGGCTTTCCTCAGGACATAAGGACATTTCCTCTATCTATAGATATTGTTTGATTAATATTACATTTCAGCAAATATTAATGTAATAGATGAATGAACTTGAGAATAAAAATTTTAGAAGGAAATGTTTTCTGTATATATAAATTATTATATATTCACATGCTGGTTTAAAATAATAAAAAATGGAATATTACATGGTACTGCATTACTTTGTAGACTTTTCTTTTTCTTTATTCTTTCAGAAGTCTGACCTTGAGCTTACCGTGTACCCCATGCTGTCCTCTGACTTATGGCAACTCTCCCACCTTAGCCTCCTGAAGGATGGCAGGGTTGTTAAAAATATGTCATCTCACCTGGCTTTTAGAATGTTATATGTCAATGAAATGAAATAATAGAAAACTCATTTTAAGACCTGTGAGTTAATAATATTTGCATGTGAACTAGAATTATGTCCCATGTGAAATAAGACCCCCATTAAGGTATTTAACCAAAGTAGAAAGTGGGAGCTCCAGTGGTACAATTGGTTAGTTATGTTAGTTATATAGATATAGTGACTAATATTCGCTTGTTGTTCTGAAAAAAAGGCTTAAGTTAGTCAGCTATTCTAGGGCCAAAATGTTCTCATTCAAAATACCAACTACCTGTTGACCATTTTATAATTCTGATTTATAAGATTGATTTATATTATATTGAATATTTTAACATTTATATATATTTTCCTTATTGTGTGCCTCTTTGTAGGTATATGCTTGTCAGCATTGCCAAGTAGCAAAAAATACAGTTATTCTAGCACCTAAACAGCACCTTCTCAAGGTGGAAAGTCCGTGGAGTATAGTTACTGTTGATCTGATGGGACCTTTTCATACAAGCAGCAGAAGTCATGTGTATGCTATAATCATGACAGACTTGTTCACAAAATGGGTTATGATTTTGCCTTTATGTGATGTTTCAGCGTCAGAAATTTCTAAAGCTATTATCAATATATTTTTCTTATATGGACCTCCTCAGAAAATAATAATGGACCAAAGAAATGAATTCATTGAACAGGTACGTCAGCTGCTTAGATTTGGGAGCATGTCTTACTCTCTGTTGCTGGCACACAGTGCTGTATACATTATAGGGCACTTAATAAATTCAAATAAATTGCTGTAGATATGGTGGTATATAATGTTTATTACAATATTTGTTGAACTAGAATTAGAAAAGAAGGATTTTAATGTGTACTTTACCTATGAATGATTATAAACCTGCCTTTGGGTATCTTCAAACTGAAATGAGAAAGTTAAACCAAAAAATATTTATTTCTAGCTTGAAAGAAAGAAAGAAAAATAAAATATTAACAAGGAGAGTGAATAACAAAACATTTTATATCATGTTAAAAATATAAAGAATGGTATTATATGTACATATTATATATCTTAATATAGATAGGTATAATAGGTATGCAAACTAAAATCTATAAAATTAATTTGTATTATAAGATGTGTTATGAAGTCAGTTTATGTGTCATAGTTATGATGCTTCATAACATCTAGTAATTAACATTTATAATTATTTGTTGCATTTGTGATGAATAAATTGCTCATGTTGAGCAATGGCTCGTTCCCCTCTCTTTTCAAACACAGAAGGCTGACCCTCTAGCCTATTGTGGGTAGACAAAACAAAGTAACTAATTCTGGCCAAAGAAAGGGAGTAGACACTGTATTACTTTCAGCCTAAGGCAACTCTGTTCAGTTCACCAGACTTCCTCTCTTACCTTTCTCTTCAGACATAATTGCACATTCTACATTAAGTTCTGGGATGCTAGAACTTCTCTCATATAGGATAGCAATTAAAGAACCTAGTGAAGACCATTTGTCTTGGAGAGACACCCATAGCTATGTCCAACTTCACTCAAGTCCTCAGTAAAACTTGGTTACATTAAGCTACTCACCAAGACATGAAAGTGTTTTGTGCATGCAGAATAACCTTACCTACTTTGCCTGACACAGCAGCAGTCTGTGAAATGAAGTATATAAGAGAGTCCAGTTTAGGGGAAGACCACTAAAACTGTTTATATTTTTTTAAATCTAATAAAATAAATTAGACTTTCCTAATGCTGCTGATTGATAATAGCTTCCCGAGTCTTTTAGTAATCCTATATGAAGTCCACTGAGAACAAAATGGGAAAACAAAACATGTGGAAGAGGCTTCTTCACTTACTCCTTCATTTCAGCATTCATTAAATTTGTGAATATAAAATCAGATTCACTCATTGTAGAATGGACACCTGACTTAAGTGTGTTTTAGTGAATCAAGATAATGCTGAAATTCAAGCTACCATCAAGCTCTTCATTGTGCACAGTAATGAGATTAAAAACAACTGTTAATCAGATCCGATGCGAAGATGGCCATCTGAATTAATATTTATCACAAAGACTCAAGTACTGATTAACTTCTACCTTTACAAACAAGGAGCCTTACCTCTAAGTACATGTTAGTCTTCAAGAATTATCTTAGAGGCTGGAGCTATGGCTTGGTGATTAAGAAAGAGCTCATACTGATCTTCCAGAGGACTCAAGTTCAGCTCCCAGCACTGCTTTGGGCAGCTAACAACCACCTGTAACTCCAGCTCCAGGGGATCCAGTGTCCTCGTCTGGCCTCTGGATGCACCTACAACTCAACATGTACAGACACAGATGCGTGTAGTGTGCACGTATACACACACACACACACATATACACACTTTTTAAAATATTTTTTTAAAAAGTATGGAACTGGAGAGATGGCTTAGTGGTTAAGAGCAGTAACTGCTTTAGCAGAGAGTTCTATTCCCAGAACCCACATGGCAGCTAACAACCATCCATAACTCCAGTTCTAAGGGATCCAATACCCTCTTCTTAGCTCCGCCAGCATTACACAACATGGGTGCATTTACATGCATGTAGGCAATACACTTGTACACATAAAATAAAAATTAAAAAAGGAAATTATCTAATGATTGTATAGATTAACCAGCAATTTTCCAGTCATGTTTAAAGTCATGTGATATCCCACTTTTACTAAAGGTGACAGTAAATGTTTACAAGTCTTGGTTCTGAGGTTTCTTAATAACAAAATGCAAAAGGGCACATACAAGTAGGAATGCTTGTACTTTTTATTAAAATTACTAAATATTACACAGAAAGCATAATGGTGACAAAATAAATATATTCTTTTGTTAACAAATACTAACAAACCTAAAATGTTAAAATAATGCATGATGTGGGGGGAGGGTATTGAATAGTTGGCTAAAACAGATGTTTCTACTAAATCAGCCTACAATATTAGCACCAAGAGCTAAAGAAGTATTTCTTCAATGAGCAAATTTATTTAATCTCTGAAAAATGTCTTATATAAAATGAAAAGCATGATTGATGGTAAGGAAAAAGGTTGGAGGGATAAATATGTCTAAATCCATTTCACAGTAGATTGACTAGATCATTTCAAGACAGCCTCCTGAAAAAAAAAGTTGAAGATTTTTCTGTGGGTTGTTTAAAACATTGGTCAAGGCCTTAGACTGAAGTTGACCTCAGTGATACCTATTTTGTGCAACTCTCTCCTGATTACTTTTATATTAAGAGGAGGCACTGTGAAACAGACATAGGATCTATGAAGAGTTCTGTTCAGATGCAAATAACAGAATTCTTCTCCTTCCTGCTACAAAAACTGAAATTGTTTGTACTCAGGTTAAAGAAGTCTGGGCTGTACAGGGATGGAACCCTTGCTCCCAGCTTCCTCTTCTGCCATCTTTGGAGTATGACTCTGTCATTTACTCACAATGTGACTGCCAGAACCCATGTCACAGTGTCTACGTTACAGTCGGAAAGGGAGGACAGTGAGTAAGGAAAGCTAGTGCCAAGTTCATGAAGCAGCTTTGACATCTGTCACAGCTCTTACCTGACCACTTCTATTGTCAAGGAATCTCGAGAAATGAAATTTTTTTTTGCTAGTTTTTATTTGATAAATTTTACTTTTTTAGTTCTTTTGAGAGTATCTGTATAAAATATTATTTTCAAAGAAAAATTTACCCACTGAAGTTTAGCTCAATTGAAAATTATAAGGAAAAATATGAGTCAAGGCAGAAAAAATAGTTATTTTACTTTTGACAGACTTACAATTATGTGTCCAAAACTCATTTTGACTTCTTTGAAGCCCACTACTTAATTATTATTATTATAGCAACAATAATAGTTACAGATAAACACTATAAAGTATTCCTTGCCAAGAGCTGTTTTACTGTCTTACAATCATTCATTCCTCTAGACAGCTCTGAGTACGGTTTTCCTCATTTTACACATGAGGGACTGGCACACAGAGGTTCAGCAATTTGGCCAATGTCATATATCTGTTAACTGCATGTGTGACCTAGTGCTTACTTGAAAAACCAGTCCACTGAATTACAATGTTACATGAACACAGAGATAGTGTTGAGGTTTCCTTCTATTTCCTTGCTCTGTGTGTGCATTAGGTAAGGCACTGGACCTCCCAAAGATCAAGCTTCTGTCTGTCTTTAAAGCAGGGATTTAGTACATCATTAAATCATCCTAAAGTTTAATGACAATACTATAATGCATCTAATGTATTAATCAGCACTTAGTAAGGACTCCATGGGTATTATTTTACACAAAATATATATATATTTTCATTTTAATGCCTGTGGTCAGTGAAAGATACCAGACTCAAGTTTTTTGAAGCCTTTTCTAAAATCAGTGGAAAAATACAAACTTGTAAAAGTCAGTTTTGTTTTACATATTTTTCAGATCAATATAGAACTGTATAGATTGTTTGGTATAAAACAGATTGTAATTTCTCAGACTTCTGGAAGTATTAATCCATCTGAAAGTACACCTAACACAATCAAAACATTTCTCTCCAAACACTGTGCTGAGCACCCAAACAATTGGGATGAGCATCTGTCAGCCCTTTCACTTGCCTTCAATATAACTCACTTGGTATGTGCCTTTTTATTAATCCTTATTTCTAAGTTATGGTGATGTAAATGTTTTGTTACAAATTGACTTTCTTTTTCTTAAAAATAGGAGCCTACTAAAAGCACACCATATTTCCAAATGTTTAATCGGAATCCTTGTATGTTGGAGACTTCAGGTAGTCCTCATGAAGTAAATGGTGAAAATACAAGTATGTTTGCCAGAATTGTAGATGCAGTTAAGGAAGCTGATAGAATAATGGAGAACAAGACATCAGTGGGACAGGTGATTCTAGTAGAAAAGCTCTGTGAAACTGCATAGTGGAACTGTTTTTATATTTCAACATAGAGACATATTCACGCACACAGGCAAGATATACCATTCAACAAAAAATGTTTTTATCTATCAGGTTCTACTTTCCTTGGTTAAGTAGTTTGCATATTTTTTATATTTGTGTGTGTGTGTGTGTGTGTGTGTGTGTGTGTGTATGTGTAGAGTATGTAATGTGTTCATATGGTTGTATGCATGTGTTTGTACAGATGCATGTGCACTTCTGGGGGTATATATCGTGGAGACTAGTGATGGACCCCCAGTGTCTTTCTCAAAAATTCTCCAATGGGTCTTTTTTTTCTTTTAAGCATGCACATGCATGCATCCATGCGTGCGTGCGTGTGTGTGTTTTGGTTTTTAGGTTTTCTGGTTTTGTTTTATTTTTGTTTTTTTGTTTTTTTTTTTCTGTTTGTTTTTCAAGACCGGATCTCACTGTGTAACCCTGACTCGCCTGAAACTCTGTGTAGACCAGACTGAGATTCACAGAGATCCGCCTGCCTCTGCCTCTTGCTTTCTGGGATTAAAGGTATGCACCACCATGCAAGCTCCATCGGACACGTGCCTCTCCGTCCAACTTCTGTGTGGGATATATTCCTAGCTTTCTATGCTGGGAATCTGATCTTAGAACCTCATGCTTGAGTGGCAGGCACTTCACCAACAGAACCTTTCCCCCAACTCCAAGCAGTAAGCTTATACCCTATGAAATTCTGAGCAACAATAATAGGAAAACGATGAATTTTGGAGTTAAGTAGAGGTGATTTCTTTCTGATCAGTATTCTTGCTATTTTCTAGTAGCTTGACTGAAAAATCAGTCAACTATTTTATTTTACCTTCTTTGTAAAGTAGGGGTCTTGATACTGACATTAAAATGTTTTAATGAAGTAATTGGGAGTTATTCCTATCTTTTAGCAGCAGCTGAGTAAATACCCATTATTATAATATTATAATGTGCATCTAAATTCATGGTATAACTGGCATTTTTTTGCACTTACAGATGGAGAACAACAATTTGAATGAACTAAATAAAAGCAAGATTGTTAAAAAGAAACCAAAGCAGTTAAATCCGTTTCATTTAAAAGTCGGTCATGAAGTTTTAAGACAGAGGAAAAACTGGTGGAAGGATGGACGTTTCCAGTCTGAATGGGTTGGTCCTTGTGTTATAGACTATATTACAGAGAATGGATGTGCTGTCCTGAGAGACAGCACCGGAACTAGACTTAAAAGACCTATCAAAATGTCCCATCTTAAGCCTTATGTAAGAGACTCCAATGAACAAGGTAAATATCTTTTATTTCTCTGTTTTTGTATTTTCTTTGAATATGGAGAGTGGATAAAATTTCAAGAAATCATCCTTTCCTGTTTTGATTAGACTTTCTTTTCCCTTCTAATTTTTATAAAACTTGATAGAATTTTATCTTTAGTAGTCTATTTTATTAGAATATATTTTTAAAGCTAATTTTATTTTGACTTCTAGAATTCTTTTCATGATTTTTTAATTGAGGTTTTAAAATTTCATACAACATTTCTCACTCAAAGCCAGACCCTCTCCCCTCTCTCTATCCTCCACTGAACACTATGTACTTTGCCATACATGCTGAGTCCTATTCATTCAGGTGTTTGTACCCAAATGTCCTTCAGTGTAAATATATCCACTGGAGTCTAGTCAGCCCATCCAGTGTTGAATGTAAGTCATACTCTCCCTCACCCAGCAGCATCCAGTCTTAAATAGTTCTCAATCTGGTGCTGGTCCACCACCTATTTCTCGCCTTTCCTTTGGGCCCTTGTTTAATTGAGCTGACATGGTGTCTCGAGTTTGACACCACCACTGCAGCAGGCTCAAAATGAGTAAGCTTCCACTGGTCTGGAAGCCTCCACCTCCTTACGTTCACGAACCAGCCCTGTATCTTACAGTCCTTCCACCTCCTCTTCTGCAATGGTCCCTGAGGTGAGTGAGGTTCCATATAGGAGTCCCATCCCACACTCTACAATCTCTTATTCCCCAAAACTTGGCCAGTTGTGGCCTTCTATGTGTATCATACTCTGATGTACATGGAAGCCTCACTGGTGAGAGTTGAGGGGTGCATTAGCCTTCTCTCTAAGTTCCTTGACCCTTCATTGTAGAGATTCGACTGCAGATGTATCACCTATACTGGGCATCTCCCAGGTGTATGTATGTTCTCTGTGCCTGACCAGATGTGCAACTCTGCAGTAGCCTCCATCTGCTGCAAAAAGAATCTTCTTTGATGAGTGCTGTATGGCATGTTTGTCATTTTAAGTGGGGGGAGGGGGTCTCTTCTACCTGGCACTTGCATTCCCTACCAAGCAGCTCCTAGGTAAATATATGCATTAATGTTCAGACACTCTATGTGCATTTCTCGTCAGGTTTCTAGGGCATCACTTTTTCCTCTAGGTTTCCTATCCTCCCGAGATTCATTCCTCTCTACTGTTTTTTCCCCCAAGTGGTCTCCCTCCTCCCTCCCTTCTTAGTTACAGTGCCCCCATCATCCCCACCTTCCCCCCAATACCTCCTGACTCCTGCCATCTTTCCTTTCCTGACTTCCCTCGCTCTCCCACACTATGGTCCCTTGCATGTTCCTCCCTCTTCTCCTGCCTGTCACTTTTTCTACCTCCCTTAGGTAATATCTGTTCCCTACTATCCCCCTTTCTGGTTGTTTCTTTTCCTTTACCTCCATGTATCCTTTGCCTTTACCTGGCTCCTGGTGTTACATCAGAATTTATATACTCACATAAAAGGGATTGGTGCTACAATCCACAAATGAGGGAGAACATATGTCACTTGCTTTTCTGTGTCTGTGTTGCTTCACTTAGTAGAACACTCTCTAGCTCATCCATTTACCTGCAAATTTCATAATTTCATCTTTTCTTACTGCTCAGTAGAACTCCACTGAGTAGATGTACCACATTTTCATTAACCATTCATCAGCTGAGGGACATTTAGATTGTTTCCATTTCTTAGCTATTGTGAAGAGAGCAGTAACAAACATGGATATACAGGTATCTCTACAGTACAATGAGTCCTTTGGGTATATGCCAAGAAGTGGTATCATTGGATCACATGGTAGGTTCAAAATAAAATATTTAGGAATAAACCTAACCATAGACGTTAAAGATCTCTACAATGAAAATTTCAAAACTCTAAAGAAAGATAGCAGAAGACACTAGGAGATGGAAAGACCTACCATGCTCATGGATTGGTAAAATCAGTATTGTGAAAATGACCATCTTACCAAAAGCAATTTATAGATTCAGTGTAATCCTAATCAAAATACCCATGACATTCTTCACAGAACTTGATAAAATAATCCTAAAATTCATATGGAATCACAAAAGACCTCGGATAGCCAAAACAATCTTGGGCAAAGAGAACAATGCTGGGGGATCACCATACCAGATCTCAGATTACATTACAGAGCTATAGTCATAAAAACAGCATAGTGCTGGCACGAAAATAGACACATAGATCAATGGAACACAATAGAAGACCCAAACATGAGTTCATATAATTGCAGCCACCTGATAATTCGACAAAGGTGCTAAGAACACACAATGGAGGAAGACAACATCTTTAACAAATGGTACTGGCAAAACTGGTTCGCCACCTGCAGAAAAATGAAAGTTTACCTTTATCTGTCACCCTGCACAAAAGTCAACTCCAAATGGATCTAAAACCTCAATATAAAACCTGAAATTCAGAAACTGCCGGAGGAAAACATAGGCAGCACCCTCCAAGATATAGGCATAGGAAAGGACTTTCTAAATTAGACACCAGTTGCTCAGGCACTAAGGTCAACAATCAGTAAATGGAACCTCATTAAATTACAAAGTTTCCCTACAGCAAAAGAAGCAACTGAGGAAGGGAAGAGGAAACCCACTGAGTGGGAAAAAATATTCACCAGATACACATTCGACAGAGGATTAATATCCAGACTATACAAAGAACTCAAAAAAAGAAGATAAATAACCCAATAAAAAGATGGGTGATAGACCTAAAGAGTGTTCTCAAGTGAAGAAATAAAAATGGCTAAGAAGCACCTAAGAAGTGCTCAACATTCTTAGCAATTAGAGAAATGCAAATCAAGACCACTTTAAGATTTCATCTTATCCCAATCAGACTGGCTAAGATCAAGAGAACAGAAGACTCCAAATGCTGGAGAGAATGTAGAGAAAGAGGAATGCTCATTCACTGCTGGTAGGAATGCAAGTTGTGCAACCACTATGGAAAGTGCAGAGAACCCTGAAAAAAGTGAAAATGAACCTACCATATGATCCAGTGATACCACTCCTTTTCATGATTTTTATGAAAAATACTGAATCTGTTTTGGAGAAGGAAAAGTTCCATCTCTATTTTTCCATAGCATTCTATTACTTTGTGCCTTATTTTTGTGTGGTAGAGATCATTAAATAACAAAGGCAGACATATTGTCCATAACTTATCTGTGTGATGAATAAGGGAACTGTGAAAATGCAGTCCTTTTTAATATTGCTTCATAATTAGGCCATCAGCTGGGACAGGTAAGGGTGAGGAGGGGTTGTACTCAGAAGAGATGATAGCTCTCTACAAAGTCTATACAGCCCCACACTATGCCAAAATTCATCATGAGCTCTAACCTTTTCCTTTATAGATGAGTTAAATGACATTTTTGCATGGTTTTCAGATTGAGTCCCCTACTTCAGCAAGATTTTGTTTTATCCTGCTGTATCTGCTCCCTAGAGCTCCTCTGAGGTGATAGTTAAGAGGAAGTTAACTAGCACTTTATTTGGTAATTATGCTTTTTCTGTAAAGAAAGTAAGGCATTATGATATTTTTGTATATGTATATTATGGACTTTGCTCATTTTCTATAATGAGTGTATGCTAATCATAATAATGCAAAAACAAATGTAATGAATATTATTTGAATATAAGTAGACATAAACTTATCTTGGACTGTGTTCAAACTCTAAAAATGCATGTATATTTTTTCACTTTGTAAGATGATAAGTGTTCACTCCTGTGGGTCCTCTCAAATCTGAATACTCTTTATAAGCTCTTCCAAGAACGTATTCTTTAATTTTAGGAAGATATCACCCTTAGTCCTTGACATTCAGAACCTGTTCTCTTCTAATGTGTTAACTTTCTTTAATACAAAATTCAACAATTTTCAGTTTGCTCTTATCAAAGACATTTAGAAAAGAGGCCAAATATTTTGCTTCTGGATATTTCAGAACCAAATTGAGAACAGAAATTCCTAAAGAGAGACAATATAGAATGTAGTGTTACCTCATGCTTAAATTTTCTGCAGCCGTTTCTTAGAGTAATATATAAACAACAGTATTCCTATTGATGTACAAGAAAGTGAATTTATTTCAAAAGTTCTTATCAGCCATGCTAAAAACTAGTTCTTGGTCAGTATTTGATCCTTTTTTGGCAGAAATTCAGAATAAATGTGGTTTAGTCCATCTTCTTCCTCAGTATCATATACTTTCCTGGAAATGTTTATATCAACAGCTCATTTTTAGAGTCCTTGACCTGAATGTAATATAAATAGATAGTATCTGTGAATAACTATCAACCTTTTCTATTTAACATAAATTTCAACATCTTATGTCCTAAAGAAGTTTAAATATTTATTTATATTTATCATCACTTCTTTCCAGTGTTGAGTTTTGGGGTCATACTAAAGAATCACTTTAAATGAGATGTATTTGGCCAGGTGTGGTGGCTCACGCCTTTAATCCCAGCACTTGGGAGGCAGAGGCAGGCAGATTTCTGTGAGTTCAAGGCCAGCCTCATCTACATAGTGAGGTCCAGGACAGCTGGGGCTACAAAGAGCCAGGACAGCTGGGGCTTCCTCCTCAAATATAATACATTTTTTAATTTGTTGATGTGTGTGTGTGTGTGTGTGTGTATCACACAGAACATCCCAAACCATCTTATTCAACTATACACCCACATGTTAATTAGTAGAGGTGATAAACATTACCATTGAAATCTACCTGATGACTTTATAGACATACACAGGCGCCAAGGATCCAAGTGCAACCAATTATGACTAGTAATAATCAGATACATAAAGAGTAGAGATGCATGCGCCAACATCTCAGTGTTAGTAGTAAAAACAATGAGTCTTTCTGCAAGGAACAATATTTTCTAAAATGAAATGGAGATCTTTTTTAAAGGTTAAAAATGCATTCAATTTTATGTCTTACAGTGCTTATACTGAGTTCGATATTGTATAACTGTATTAATTCAACTGTGAACCTAGGAACATACAGCC